ACTAGAGATCTGTTAGGAAGGAAAAAGTGAACTGGAAGAAAGATGCAAATGCAAATCACGCCACAGATCTGAGCTGAATGCGAACTTAACCGAAACTATGTAACATTTCGAAGACAAAATAACATAAAACTAAAACTAAAACGGGTTGATATATCAACTGTCCAATAGACAGAGACCTAGAAATTGAAGGAGTGACGAAAGTGTGTATTCTAGTCCGACCGCAGTTGTCAAGGCAGATGTCCTTGTTGAAATTTTGCTGTTTTATATTTTCTTTTCAGGTAAACATGGTTAATCTTAACATTAAATCACTTGACTAATCAAGTCGTTACACACGATCCTGGTCAATCTGAAGTGAAGTAACTGCTAAGCTAACAGGGCTAAAGTACAAATTTTTCAATATATGTTAGAGGGTACCCTTGTTTTTCTTACACGTTTTCTTAGCGCTCCAACAGCTTTTGGATAGCCATATACCTATCATTTCTCTATGTACGGCTCTTCGAAATAAATCGATGATGGAATATTCGCCTTTTAAATTATAAGAAGCTTTGTAATCATATGGACTTAGATGGAATAGATGGGTAAATGCCGAGGTTGACTGATCTTCTGCTCAATCATAAAAGTAATTTTAGCATGGCGATAAGATGTAGCGTTACTAAATGCTACCTAAACGCTTTAGTTTGCCATGCCAACGGTCTAGGAATCTCTTGAGAAACTCGAGATAGCAACTCGCACTCATTGTTTCTCTTTGACAAGTATTTTATAGTAGCAGGTGGCCTGATATTCATTGAAAGTATTCGCTGTCAAAATCCATTCGATACTGTCACGGAAGTCGATTTCTTTCGCCCTTTCCGGCTCTCAGCAGAAATTGAACCATGCCCCATCTCTGCCGACAATATGCTTTAGAGGTTTTCTTTTCAATTCAAGTTCTGCAAATTGAATGGGAAATACACTACACAGCCCATTCACGAAAGACACATTTTTAGTCCATTGCCACGTTCCCATCATTTGGATTATAATTCTATAATACGTTATACGCGCCGAGAGAGCGCTTAGATTCTAAAACTTCTACGTTCTGCTTTCATGAAAAACTTCTCTGATTGTAGCACTGTCTTCTTATCTTCCATATCCTGACATCTGACTGCCTTCTCGCTGGTCTTCAAACTCCGATCCCCGTACTCGAAACGTTTGCACCAGTCACGCACTGTGCTTTGTGCCTAACGTCTTCAACAATTTGCGATAAATTTCCGCAGCGCGGTCGTTTTCGGAAAACAAAAACTTCCACACTGAGCGTCGATTTGTTAAACTAAAGCATGTTTTTCTTTCCGAACTAATTTCTTTTGAGGTAAACGCAACCGCTTTTCACTCGGAAGCTTCTAAAAGAGTGGAGTCTTTACTAGCCAAACGTCGTCTGCTACTGGCATGTAGTTCAAAAGTTGCTCAATTTCGAAGCCCGCTGAATCCGTTTGTAGCAGCTCAATAGAATCAGACGTTTTATTGGTATGGTAGACTTAGGTTCATGATAATATGACTGTAGGCAACCGGTTTTATGAAGCCACCATCGTAGAGTACAGATGTGTTCTAATAATTGCATCTTTTTTAGTTATAATTAACTTCTAATCTTACCTCTTCTTCAGATCCGTTTTCTTCAGATTCTATTCCGTTCTATATGTCATACAATTCCTTTCAAGCTAGAAGCTTAGTGCGATCCCACGAAGCCGATTCAAGTCGTCAACAATATTTAAATTTTTAACAACATTCAGATAAAGCAAGGAATTCAGCTCGAGTAAGAGTCATATCACTATATATGCGTATTTAATTTTCAAGTCCGCCGAATTTGCTTGTAACAAGCTAACTATTGTGTATGAAATGTTAAACTTTTATTTATATATAACTTACTATAACTCTAAACACGTCTATATTTCTTGCATTCCACCGAACAAATCTACCTCTACGGAAAGAAGTATGATTGATTGTCGTACCGAAGATCTGCTGCACTAATTAATTGATAAGGTAGTGCGCCCTAGCGGACAATAACAATTATGGCTGCACATAAATATGAACTGATAAGTCTTGGAGGACGTAGATAACAACGCTTGTAGCTAAATAACTTAATAGTAAATTATCTACGCTCATCAACTGTCGCAACTGCAATTAAACTTTTTTCAATTGCCAACGGTGTTGAGTTTGTTGTGCTGAATATAGGACGGTATATAATTTTAACCATTGCTGACCGAAGTCTAATAGGAGCAATTGTGAGACGCAATTCCCCTTGTTCCTTGGATAAAGCTATATATTAGCAGTAGAGCCTCTTCAAACAAGTATTTTTAGTAATACAAGTAGCTCTGGCGCCACCGAAGGCACAAGGCAGCCTTCGGCTTCGTTCACTTCACTCATTCTACCGCCATCAGCGCTCCATTTAAGCGAAGATAGGAGGCTCATACACACTTATGATGTTGAGGCTCGTGCTGCCAACCTCTACCCTCTGTCGACGTGGCGCACCTTCCCGTTTCCACCAACTGCTTCATTAAACATGTTAGCTTTTTCTTTAAGGTAACGCAGAGATCATGTGTCTTCAGTTGTCTTTTATAAATTAGAATCCTGACTAAAGGATAACTAACGCGGAACCCATGTCTTTCCCATCTTAGCTGCCCATGCACGACGCTGCTAATAATTCTTTGCCATCTGGACTGCAGTGACGGGTAACAAAGAAAGAAAGGATAATATTCACTGTGTTTGATGGTAAGTTCTTTCTCATTTCTTTCAAAGTTGCAGGTAAAGAAGAAGTGAAAGCGGCCGCCATAAGGTTGTCGAGAAGGATGGGGTTGATATTTCGTAGTTATTCAGTAGAAAATAAAATCGGAATTTCCTCAGAATCAAAAAATTTTATCAACGTAAATGAGGCAAAATCCGTAGCTCTAAAATGGTGTAAAGAATATCACAATACAGCAAACCTCTACTAATTTGCTGAATAATGAAGAATCAATTTTTGCAAGCGTTCATATCTCGTGGTGTTCTTAAGACGCTGGATTCAGCTGCTGTTATTAAGTGTGGCTTCGGCCGGAACGCTATAACCCGTTTCATCAGGTACCTTGCCTACCTGTTATATAACCTGAGAGGACCAGAAAAAGCAACGTAAATGGGAGTATGAGTTAACTAACCATTTGCCGTTTGTACATATAAATGTTTTTTTTGGTTTTAAACGCCTCCAGCTCGAGTTGGCACGCAATCTGTTCAACGAAAGTCCGTTCCATCATAAGCTTTTCCTGAGGGCCTCCTTGGACAGAATTCCTTATTTGCTCATCGATAGCCTGAAACATGCAATATAAACAGCGTTCGTATCGATTAACTTGAACTTAATGTGTATAGTCGATTCTGCCTAACATGAACATCGAACCCCGAGTGCAGTTCGATTGCGCCTTGAGACCAACCGTCTGAAGTAAAAGTTAACGGCAGTACCACACGTAAAATCTCATATACACTATCATATGTATATTATTTTGCCAGAATGTCGCGATGAATATTTTTATAAACCATAAGAAATGTCATCGAATACAGCAGAATTTACTACTAGTCAGACTATCATAACCGGCTGATTTTTGATATCAGTTTGAATAGATATGACTGACGTAGCTTTAAACCTTCACGGTCATTTTTATACGATATATGGCACCGAACGAAATATGGCACGGTGATTAGTTGTTGAACAAAACTTATATATCACACCTAAAACGCTTCTATACATCGTTTTGTTCAACGAAGATATAGATACTAACAGTATTTCTAAAGAACGGGCACATTTGTTATTGAGAATCGTTTCTAACAGTGTTTCCGGTTAAAAAAAAAATTAACTAGACACCTGAGATAGATAGTTTGATTCCAACTTTGATATGATTGGCTTTTATGACTTGAATGTCTACCACTGTTCTTACGGCTGTTCGAAATTGCCATAGAACTTACATTAGCCTAAGTTGAGTAGCGTATCAATGTGTGTATGAACTATTATAATCAAAATATATATCTTCGGCGGATTGTTCAGAATTAGTCTAAAATGAATACTAAGCAAGGCTAGACGTATTTTAAACATTGTTTTGCAGAAATAAAATAGCAATAAAGCTGCTTGTTGAGTTATGTCAAGCGTTACAGAATGAAAGCAGAACATTTTATGGGAAAAAAAAAAAAAACACCGTGGCCAGAAAAAGTGTCTAGACCAGCATGGAATTTTTTACATTTTGTGATGGGCCCGTAACTTGTTCCTTGGATTTGTGAAGGGTATCAACCATTACAATGCTATGTTGTACGCTTCCAGTAAGAAAGATAAGTTGGCTGTAAGAACAAGAGGATGGATGAGCGCAATCATGTTCGTTTGTTTTCAATAGCCTTAAATTCATTGATAGGATTTAATTGAAAGACTTCTTGAGGGTCGTTATGTGACAGTCGATACGGTATTAATAGACGCCATAAATAAAAAAGCTCACACCTCATTTTAGGATCGCTATCTGAACTAGGCCAACTATACAAGCTTACTGGCAGCTCAGAAGCCCCGTTTGATCATTCCTAAATTTTTTCCTGTAGTAATGCTTTTATATGCCCTGTCACTTATAATGAAGTTCATCTGTCCGAATTAGCATACTTGTATTGGGCTAATATAGTAAAAAAAAAAAGAAAAAAAAAAAAAGGAAAACCGCAGCAGCGATGTCTTTGCCAACATCTACAGCTAAGAAAAATTAGCTCTCGTACTTCTAAAAAAAAAGCGATCCAGTTAACACGTTGCAACATCAAATACTCTATCGAAGGTCAGCAGGTGGAGATGCGCAAGAATAATTTCTAAAACGATGATCTTGAAGATAATTATTGGGATGCTACCAAACTACTTTGTTCCCTCTGCTATACTGGTTAGACTAATGAAATGTTTACATCATTTATGAATTTTTCTTACCGACGATCATTCCGAGCTCGGATCGTAGCGAATGTACAATCGTTTCTCATTCTAAAGATAATTACCATAACAGAAATTTTGCTTTTGTGCTCTATGCTTTGTCTTAAAAATTACTTCTTGACCTTGAACCAGATCGCTGCTTGCTAGTTACATTAAAAATACGAGCTAACTAAAAATTTGGTGAAAAAAAATGAACTTTATAAAGATTAGATTAACTATATTGTTGTTCGGGAAAACTTCCCTGAATGAAGTTGTTGTTCAGTAATCGATGTCTGACGGGGCAGTTTTACTACGATATGTTTTGATTTCAAACTGCGGGCGCTAAAAGGTCCTTTGTCACAGGTGTCAGGCAAAGGAACGTGATATCCCAACGCACAAATCGGGGCTGCATTTGTCCAATTTGTGTAAAAAGGCCCCCAAAATGTGATTTCTAATATTGCGTATTTCATTGTTCTACAACAAGTGTATAGCTGCTGATCTCTAGGTCGTTCAGTAGAAATCTGAGCAAAATAAGGCATACAAAATACAATTTAATATACGTTTGCGTAATTTTCTTATTTAGATTTCGAGTCTGCCTTGCTCTACAGCAATTGAATACTATGGCCTTGGATTTTCATAATTTCTTCATCATTTTTCAACTAGTTAAACCTAGTTTTTCTAACTGGTCTAGTCTTTTTTCTAACTGGTGCATTCGCCTTCGCATGTAACCCGGCTATTTAATACAGAAAACAGTGTTTAAGCCTGTTTCTTGCAAACAAAGAGGGGCAAAGCTATTCTTAATTTATATACTGTGAGCAACTGATACTAAACATGTGATGAATGGTACCTGCTGTCAATTAATCGACATGGCCTTAATAACAATTTCGATCATAGAAATAATTTAAAGCCGATTCTCAAAAATTCCTTTTTGTGTTCTTTGCTCGACCTCTCCGATCGTACAGATGCCCGCATAGTGCATATATTATTAGCAAAGATCGGAATATGTTCTGTATCATGGCATCAATAGATAATCGACATCTCGTAGAAGTGAGAATTTCGAGGAGCAAAGATCACAAGCAAAGCAACAAGGGCAAAAGTTAAACAATGACTTGTTTACATGCAATGTTTGCCTCCCGAAAACAGGTAATGGATACTTGATGAAACAATGTGTTCATACGCCGTATTCAATGGAATATATGTATACACTCTGAAGATTGACGCTATGCGTTATCATTGAAGTTTATCCACAATCGTTGAAAGTGGAGAGCTCAATCACAGTGGTTGCTTCATTCGTATTGTGTAAGTGCCTACGTAAGGTTCTACAAGATATGGATTATGCTCACCTTGATATACGTGGTGTAATTAGACCATAAATCCTGGCGGAGTTTAACCGCGTATGACTGACGAGCCTCGATTGACACCTCTGGTATTGCACAGCACCTAGGTTCAAGAATCTTACCGCCGAAAAAAAAATAGCGCAATACTTACATCAGTTTTTGCAGAGGGCACACAACACAAAAGTGACGCTCTTTCCTTAGAAAATTTTTCTCGACCAGAACATTTTTATTTAATTGATAAACATCAAGCAAATTATCGAGTTACCGCATATTGTTGACGAAGCATGACTTCATGCTTTAACAGTTTCTAAATATTGTCTATTATGTTTGGTTACTTTTTGATGCAAGATGTTTGAAGAACTTCATGGCACCATTTCCCCATAAATCTCCAAAAAAAAGATATATAGACCTATATATATCCTTAGGCTATCTAAAGGATCGAGTTATTAAGGACAGATTTAGCAAGAGGTAAAGCGGACTTGAAAGAGCAGGTTCAGGTGAGTGAGACAGATAGATAGAACATGTTGGCCAACGTCGAGTACTATTAAAAAGTGTACAATATTAGTACGAAAACAATTATTGATAGGCGGCTCTCCGTTTTTTGGTTCTTAGTTCTATGTTCTGTTAGGTTAAGTGAAATTGATCTTGCCTTTCATGGTTCCGGCGATTTTTTCACGCAGACCATATTAGTACAGTCATAGCAGACAGACAGCGTAATCTTTTCGTACGCGGTTGCTTAGGAAGCATGCAAGTGTCAAATCGCGATTAGTGGAAGAAGAAGCTGATTTGCTTTAATTTTTCAAGGTATAGTGATAGCCCTCAGATACACAAATTTGAAGTGTTCTAAGCGTCCCTCCACAAATAATAAGTTTTCTGCAAAGTCAGCAAGGTTTTTGTTTATTGCTGTTTTTCAAATTTTCTATTATTAATGGATAGCCAGTGAAAAATGTGCGTCATTCCTATCGTTTTGGCGGGATCATAAAACTTTGCCTTGAGCTTCATTTCCAAGGTACGTCGTGCAGAAAAATACGTAAATTTCTTCCCTCATCGTCATTTTTTGCCAGCGTCAAATAACTTCGACAGTAACTTAGGAAATCTGGTAATATGCAGAGATATATAGACTTATTTATCAATTATGATCCTTCAAAAATGACGTGAGGCAGTCGTCATCGAGCTTGAGGGGCTCAATGAAGTATGTCCTTTAGGTCGAAAATGCCCTGCAGCGAGTTATCTTTATGCACCAATCTCAGTTCACCAATAGTCTGTCGCACAGGATGTACCTATCTAGGGTTGTTTGTACAGTCTTTTGATTTCAGTGGACGAAGAGTAATAGGTCTACACTCTGTCTGGCCGTCCGTTTTAGTATGCTCTGACCGAACAAGACGACAATAGCATGCCCTATAGAGTGAGAAAAGAGCTTTCCGACGGTATATATAACCTTTGACCATTGACAAACGGGCAACCAGCCGCTGTTACTTTCCGAACAACCTACTAGATAGGTCCGACCAGTTTTGTCTGATACACATTTGCTTTTCGGACAAAAAAAATTCTATGCATAGGTGCCACTATTAACAGGATAAAGGTCGTTGTTACAACCCATCTGGGTGGTGGCCAACGGTAAATCTCAAAGTATCTTTTTATTAGGGGTGCACCACTTATGAATTCCGTTTACTATAACTGGCAAAAATTTTTGTTCCGAAATTCCATCTTTTTTCCAACAAAATTCTCTAGATTTAAACAAAGTCGACAGGATCATCGTTACCACGGTGACCGTCAACCTGCGGCCATTGTTAATTCGGTGTTCAGCATTGGTAAATGATTTCTATTGCATGTTATTAGTAGGCCGCTTTTACATGTTTATTGGGGAAAAACCCACACAAGTCTGGCAATACAATAGCCAACGGCCTAAGTACTAGAGGTAAAAACAAAAAAAACAAACAGCGACAGCCGTAGATATTAAAAAAAAAAAGAGAGTCGATTTTGTATAGTCTTTGTTTTGCTGAGATCAATTATAAAAGTCGTTGTTACAAGTCTTCAGATATATATTGAGAATTCGTGATTTGCCTTTCCACATTCTATCACACAAAGCTCAACTTCGAGCAAACTTAATGCCCAGCGATAACTACGACAAAACTTCATTAGCTTAGAATATACAGGTAATAGCCATTTTTCGTCTAGAAAATGCACTGGAACTACAAATTAATTTGTTATGTATCTGCCGTCATTTTCCACTTATTTCAGTTGAATTTCTTAGTTATTATTAATTAACGCAAGAAGCGTTCGGGTTTAATATTGTAGAGCTAGTTTTGTCAGCCTTTGTTACTCTCTTCATTGTCAAGTGTACGGCTACTCATTAATGTGTTAGTGTTAGGGAACGGTGATAATCGGTAAGTCTGAGGCCTACGGAATACGGTAGTGTACGGTAAGTGTGAAAGAAGTTCCCTTCTTCTGGGCACCTTTCACAATATTTGCCATGTGCGCCCCGGCATTGTCATGTAGATGGACGACTTCTTTTCGTCTATCGGATCTCTTCTTTTGGATAGCTTTTTTCAAAGGCCATATGCAAATCTTTATTAACTATCTTCTTTTGCTTAATATTGTCTTATGTAGAATACCTTTCCAGTCCAAATGCAAATTATATTTTCTTTGGTATAACTGGAAGATATAGATAGATAGATAGATAGAGATTTGGCCCAGCTAAAGTTAAACATTCATTTTTCGACTTTATATCGATGGGCATTTTTCGCGGCCGGCGGCAATTCTGTGGCGTAACCTGTCATTGACTCCGTTTTGGTGCTGGGTGAGATATAGAGAGTCCATGAGCAAACTACTAACTACTGACAGAACTCCACACGTTTAAAATGCCTGAAAATAGGCCAATATTAGCAGCTTACCTTCTCGGCAGTAATTTTTTTCTTCTGGAGTTTTCAAAGGTAAATTTCATTACATGTTACAATTCACTGCACAATGAAATTACTATAAACGTTTGTCAAGATCACTTAAAAAGTATATGGTCCAACTCTATAGACTCTAGATTTTTCTTTGGAAAAATCAAACAAAATGTTAAAAAATCGATACAGACTGTCGGCTTTATTTAATATCTGCGCTATCAAAAACGAGACTCTACATATAATAGATCTCGGACATGGGGCAGCCATACAGTCGATCGTTCATATGAACAGATGCACCATTTCTTACGACAGATACATCCGCGATTGATACTCATTTGTTCGTCAATAATCAAATACGACCTACTGTTTATTTATTAGGAAAGCTGAGAAGTTCCTTTGCTTAACGTATAAGGTACAGATTTCGTCTGCTTTTGATAATGCAAAGCTTAAACCTATTGTGTATAATCTAGGTAATTGCAGTTTTCGCCATCTATAGTTTCCGATGCGCGCGTCGAAATGTTGTTTCGCCTTTACAATCGTTTTTTTTTTTGTTTTAATTACGGGTGCTTTGCTCTGCTGTACTGGCTCCACCCTTTTAGTATGCGCTAAATCACAATGAGGTAAATGCTCACCCGCCGGTAATCAAATAAATTCATAATATCGGTGGGGGGTTCGACTAGTGCGAAGAGGACAATAGCCACTGTCTGTACTCATGCCAAAGACGAGCCTCGTCTCTCTACCATAATCTTTATTCCTTACGGTAATATCATACACAGTAGCATCGCCCATAAGTTATGCGGAGCTTCCGTCTAACGTTGATCTATGGCATGCATTTTTTAGGCTCAATTTAGGCTTTCATTCCATAAACAAAGTTTCTGTTTCAACAAATACCAATCTCAGTTGGAGTTTACAACAACTACAGCAACGTACGTTTATGAAATAAACATAAAACTCATCAGCCGCACTTTCAGCATTTGCACTTCCACTTGTTGTAGAAGTTTCCCAAATTGTTTTTGCATCGTAAAAAACAATCCAATATGAGAAAAAATTTACTTAAGCATTAAGGCATAACATATAAAAAGCACCACCATACGAAGAAATATACTACAAGGAGAACGCTAAAGATTGTCACTGTAGCCTACAGAAGAATAACTGAACACAAAATAAAATTATTAACATTATGCCAAAGAAAGTATTTGTTCAAGATGTAATATAGACTATGTATATGTAATCATGTCTTTATATCGACCTTAATAACACCCTTGTAAAGTCAGCTATTCTAATTACAACCAACCCTCATATTTTTCCAACAAGGAAAGTTTTTGGAAGATTTTGCTCTCGTTGACGAATCATGCAAGTTTACTAACATTTAACGAAACGTCGTGAAAGGCAAGTTTTATTAGATATAAAGGTTTATTAAAACTGTATATATTTCAATAACTAGCCACTGCTTACAAATATCACCCGTCTTTTATAAAAAAAAGTCTCTTTTATGCTTTGCACCTCTGCAAAAGAAATTCTCGATTTCAACTCGAGATTATTGCCTTAAATAACACAAGCAATATAACGATTTTATTGGTTGACCTTAAGGTTTACTGCGAGTAAGACAGACCTAATTGTACATTATACCACTTATGCCCTAATCAGTAACTGAAACTGGTTCCGAATATCACGACTGATAAAACAGAAGACTCATATTTAGAAGCGATCAAACATGACAGCTACTTACCACGCTATTATGTGGAATTTCCCTTTCTCGCTCTTGCTTTTGCTTGCCGTGTTTGTCATACCGCAATGCTTCATTGTCCTGTTTTACCCCTCTTCGTAACTGAAATTGCTTCAGGATGGTTTGCTCAAGCTCTCTTTTGGCCTCTTTTTCCATCCGCTCCCTCACACCCTCATCGCCTCCGCCCCTACCATCACCTCCGAACCTGCGAAATAAAAATTTGCATTTCTTATTTACAAGAAAATATTGATATTGATCTCTCCCGTAATAACGCTATTTTAATTTTTCGAGGACAAACGGGCTATCTATGCATGACGCCTGATGATAGGTTATGCATGAGGTGAGGGTAAGCGTCGACCCTGATTAAAACCACAGAGTTCTGCATGCGCGGATGCCATGCAGCTACGCTGCAAACATATTGATATTGTACGAAATACATGATATCTTCAAAAGACCACAAATGGTCTTCGGTGCGAGAGCCCACACTGATATAATCCGTTACTCATGCGCACGAGCAACTGTTTCTAATCCTGTCTATAATTTAGTTATCGAAATTATAGAAGATACAATTATTGACGTGTAACTAACAATCTTTCTTTTAATGTTTAGAAATTAGGCAAGAAACACTACTATGGTATCGAGTGTGCATATATGATAAATAAAATTAAATTTAAAAAAAAAAAAACGTGCGTAGTAATCGGGCTTCTGTGAAAGTTTTGCCAAGATTCGCGTCGCACAGTTGATCGAATCCAACAGGTGGAAACAATTTTGTTGGGGTATGTTACAATACCAGGCGGGGATTCAAATATAAGCCTGTCTGTCGTGAACGTTTATAGTTCAATAGCTTTGTCCTAAATCAAAAGTTGATAATGATGCAATTTAGAATTATAGTTCTACTTATCACAACCTTTATTGGGTAATAAAGCTTAACTCGATTGGGTAGGATGTCTTGCGAATAGAAATTTAGTTTGAGTAAATAATGCCCACGATGAGCAATGTTAGCAAAATTGATAACTATATTGACAAGATGGATTTGCGAAACGCTTCGGAGCTTATAGCAGCACTAATTCATACCTTATGGTTTGAAGCGTACTGGACTATGATCAATAATACCTACTTGAAGAAACGTTACGATTCTGCCCGTATATTGTTGCACTTAACCCAGCAATCCGCCACGTTAACTACAGGCACATTTTATAGCCGTATATATATATATATATATATATAGCGTAGTTTGTCTATAAAATTAAGCTTAAATATTCCGCTTGCATAAAGGGATAGGTCACGAGCGAGATCGAATCGGATTGTCTTGCTCAACTTGTAACTTCCGATCCAATTTGAACTTGTTCCTCTCTCTTTTTTTTTTTTGTTTTCGTCGTCGTAAATGAAAGCGGAGTTGAAGCATAGTCAACGATACATGATCTGATCTGAGTGATATTCATTGTTTATCACTCACTAGAGTATATCTGAATGTGTGCCTCTGTACATTGACTACTATATTAGTCTTCCGGTACAATTTCCCACTTTCTATTTGAAGGTTAATACAATTTACTGGCTCGTACTCACTCTTCTTCTAGATAATAGTGCAGCCCTGTTTTTTGTCACGCGAACAATCCGGTCGCGGAGATTACCAATAACTTCCTCAAATACCTAAAATCCTTTTGCGGAATACGCTACGTTTGAGAACTGAAGACAAATTCATATCGTATTTTAAAAATGCCGGTTTTACGGTACGCTTGCTTGCAGCCAAATCTGGTGCGTATTAATCATACTTGATAGGCATTAGGGATATGCCTCAGCCAAATTCCTAAGCAATCGAAAAGGACGCTCTCCTCAAAACAAATAAGGACCTCGATTTGGTAGAGCCATTCATAAATAACAAAAGCAAATAAAATTGATTCTAGCTTCCTAAAGAAAATATTAGTTTACTTCTAACTTTCACGAGAGAAAATTTTTAAGAGTTTTAAACGGTCTAAGAAAATGGATAGATATCCTCTTAAAAAGCTAAATCATGCTTGTGTTGTTCTATAGTTCGTTGTAAACCTTAATCAATTGTGAAACCTATAGCTTAAAATAGACAGGTAGATCCTATGACAGCACGAAAGCTGACGAAGACTATGAGCCAATGTAAGTCTGTGATACTTGTCTTGGCGATGAGGTATAGAAGCAGCCTCTTTCGTCTGTTTGCTTCAAAGAGTTTGAATAATGCTGTTTGCGTACGATCAGGCTCACCAGAGCAATGTATATTTAAGGTAAGCGGATAAGTGTGGGATTTGAGCCCTACTGGTAGAATCCTGTCCCGTGAGTCCACTGGTTTTCTATTTTTCACCATTTTAACAGTTAGGCTTTTCAATTACTAATAAATATTACGGACTGTTCAGAAAGATAGTTGGCGCCCCGATTGCTCATCACAGGTGCTCTCTTGTGTGTAACGCAGAAATAACTAGACAGAATTCTGTTCACACTGTGGTACGCAAGTTTCAGATGTGTGAAGCTCATCTTTGGCTTTGTCTTTTTCTCAGAGAGTAGCCGAGCGCTGTCTTGTTCCTACGTGTTCTTAGTAAATATTCGATCTATATTATCACCATATATTATTAATATTCTATTTATATATTTCAACGAGGAAAATGAGAATAGCAATTGCATTACTGGACTCCAAAACATCATTACTGAAGGACAAGTGAGCTTCGCATCCGGTAGTATGAAAAGGTTATCAGTGATAAGTTATGTCAGGAATTTAAGAGATCCCCCCTAAGACAAGTTCGTCTTGGTTTCAGAAAATCATAATGAGTTAAAAAAAAAAAATTGATCCGATGGTAAACGTGGTAGCACTTACTCGCTCATGTATCTGCGGCCGCCTTCGTACACATCATCGTAGTCGCTCTCCGAGAACTTGTATACTGCCGTCCTTAATTCCTGGCTCCGGAAAGTGGACAATTTTTTATCAACTTCTTTTGGCCGTGTGCACACGTCACAACAGCTCCCGCATGACTTCAGTTTTTCGCCGAATTCCTTACACAAGTTACTATGACGGCAAGTAGCTGACTCAAACATGCTCACCTGCAGCGAAAAAGCCAGTTAAGTCTTCTCTACATATTGGGTCCTTGAATTTTAGTCAAACGAACGCGAGGTTTCGCACCATTTTTCCGTTATTCTCGAGATGGGCCTGCATTCTCTGGTATCTAAGGTCGCTCACTCGGGCTTCCAGCGTGCGCGCTGCGGTAGGCCATGGAGAGTCAGGAAATCATACTTGCTCACATCAATCAAATTAATTAAGTAAAAAATGGTTCCTGAGAGAAGAATGTTGACATGGAGACGCTTGCTTCTCTTCGCCGAAAAATTTGCTTTTTCTAATGATCGTACATGGTCGTATTAGTGGTTTGAGCTCGTAAGACTCGTATGATTTACTCTTTTGTTGTCACAGGAAAAGAATAAATAAGGTACCATTCAATGGCAAAAGGTTATAGTGAATAATTCTATCAATAATGAAAAAAGCTTAAAAAAGATCCGAGGACGAGTTAACGATCTCAGTAACGATTTCGTACTAGAACTCTTAATGGACAGCCATTAACTAATCAAATAGGACCAGCTAGGATTTTGACACACTGTCGAGTATGATAAAAGATATTCCCCCACTCGCACTAAATATTTGCTCAGTCCTTTGTCCCGTTTTAATCCCGGGTAGCAAGTCATGGAACTGTCGCTAGAGGAGCATTTGGTATAAAGGGGAAGGTAGTTACTGACACGCGTATAGCAATGGCTATTTATTACAATATGTATATACTAAGCACATGGTTAGGTGGCCGATGTCATCTTCTTCGTGAAGAGACATCGATGATTCGAGGTGCAGTATAGTAATTATGGCCACTCTCATCTATTCGATGGCGTCGAGGTTATTGTATCGACAACTTACTTTGAAGTGGTTTTGGTACTTTACGAGCGGATATATATAATGGAAATGTGAAAAAAAAATTTAATAGGGAAGCAGCGGGCTTTAATAGCCATATTCATAGAAAATGAAGTTGTTGCAAAAATGCTATGGTAACTAGATCTACATATTGGAGCGTGTAATCGAAACTGTAGCCTAAAAGATGAGACAGAAAGGATCATGAGTACCAATTCATAACAATTTCCCTCTCGTTGAGTCGCTCTATATGTCATCGTTTCATAAGTACCCTTTGACATCATATGAATGAAAATGAGTAATTTTAGCTGAATCCTCTGTGAAGCTCTCTGCACCGATATGTGCGTTTTGAATGGGTTAAAAAACTTAAGGGCAATTAAAGACTGGAACGGGGTCCGTTTTTCAGATGAATCGCATTTCGAGATTTTGTGATGTAATGCTTAATTACGCCATAGCTTGGGAATTCGTCTGACTTGAATCCGGTCGAAAATATGTAATATTATTGTTGTTAAAGAACGAGTCGGACCCGGACAGATAGCCACGAACATCTCACAAGAAAAGCTGTGAAGCGAAGCTCCAAGCGTGCTCCCAGGGCCGAGATGTGACGGAAATGATGCCCAAGTGCATTCGAAACATGCCAAACCCAGTTGCAGTGAGAATCGCGCACTAACTGCCTGTGTTTATATTTAAAAATACGCTCTTAGCGACAATATTGTCACATGTGTTATTATCATTATAAAGTAGAAGAAAACAGTTTTTATAGCATGCAGATATTTCATTTGGGCGTTGGACAGTCTCCGATAGACTCAAGAAGCTGTGCCGATTAATAGGTGGCTCTATTTGGTTTATTAATATATATATATGCCGAAAATAATGATACATTCTGTTTGGTTTACGTTCTATAGCACTGTTAAGGACTAACAAAATCAACAATGTAGCTACGTTTTGGGTAGAAGGCCCTGCAGAAAGAAGATCGACCCGTCGTTGTGAAAATCCTTGCTAGCGCCAGAAAATAAGCGTTGCTCAATTTACGACTTTTAAGAGTGTATCTTTCGACCCTCGTTTGAAATCGAGTTAATACCTTTATAATAATTACAGACTTTAAGTAAGGGTTTTGTCACTGTGGTACACGCATACATAAAAACAAATACATTTTTAATTGCTTCTCTATGAGACTCTCTATGGGAATGGACATCTACACTCCGGTTTTGAACTATAACTTCTAGCAAAATTTTGCAAGATTTGGTATTCATCTCGATCGTATCGGACACGACCGTTTTCGAGCTGCCCATGAATACGTTCGAGCGTCACTTTTTCAGTGACGGCGAATCCATCAAAAATGGGTGCTTTCTAGCTCTTTTTCTTTATATTAACATTTAAGAGTAGCAAATGTTGCGTATGCGTTTCTCAGTGCGTTTTTTTTTACCGGTGAGTGCTGCGCTTATCATGAGCGGCCTAACAGATATCTTGCGTAGCCGAAGATTCAGAGGTGAGTATTCCAAGCCAAATAAGCATAAGATCTAGTTATAGCGGCGTGATGGGCATATACCTTTCACACGTATTTTAAGTCAATTGTCGTGAGAGTCCTAAAATGGCGAATGGTTCCTACTGCCTATAGGTTAAGTCCGCCAATGGAATATACATGACTGTAACTTCCGTATTCGAATAGTTCTAATTTAATTTCTCTAGGTCCACTCCGGAAACTTCTAAAAAACAACCAAGGTACCTTACAGCAGCAAACCTTATCGTCTTTATTAACTCGTACATATTTTGGATCATTATTTGCATAAACCGATGGCGATAATATGTATATAACTGAGTTTATATACAAAATATATACGAGATGTTACGATTACACCTTAAGGACAACACGAGACAGTTCTGGCGGCATCTGGGCATTTCCTATTGACTCTATCATAGAAGGTACGGTCGCCAAGAAAACTTTGAATTTACCAATCATTCATTGACACTGAAGTGGAAAAGCGTCTTGAAAGCGTCAACCTAAAGTCGGAACCCTCAGACATGTTGCCGGACCGAATTTTTAGTAGTTACAGATCGGCGCTTCATCCCCGTCTGTACGCGGCTCAATGTCTAACATAGAGTCGTCGCTGCACAGAGCAATGTCAAGGAGAAACGTCGTATTTGTAGCATGTCCGGTAGGGTCAGTAACAAACTGCACCATTGCATGATCGACACAGAAGCCGAAAAATCCTGTTTTGTTGGGCTCCTCCACATTTACTTTTAGAACGCATAGCGTGTAACGCGCAACAACAAGTTTAAATCATTCGAAATAACAATATTATTGTTCCCACGAGATTGTGTTTGTAGACAAAATGAAAAACAAACATATTTCATTTCTTACAAGCATAATAGCTTCACCACGCGATGCTCTGACCTTGCCGAATATTGAAATTTAAGCATTGCAGCTTAACTCGGCTGCAGTTAACTGGAGAGTCACGTAGTAAGAGCAATGTCCACTCTCTTTAAGGGAGTTCTACATTTTAGTGGACTGTCTATGACCTGTCGTTAGCTACGGGAAAAGATTCTGAGACTGGACTTTCACGTAAGACTCGACGACAGTGCGTTACTTCAAGTATTGCTCTTTCATAGGTTACCGTTGATCAAATTGTCGTAACTTATATCCAAGACCTCTACATAGAATTTGCTGTTACTGCTGTGAACTGTTGTTTTCTTGATTATGATGGAATTCACATTGTCCTAGCCTTTCAAGGTATTTATATAGCGCCTTTGCCGATAGGCTAGGACACATTTTTGAGGTGTAAGGTTTTCACAGACGCCAATCGTACCGCATACTCACCAGTTGAGGCCTCATAAGATATGCTTTCGATCAGTGCATCTTTCTCAAACGTTGTAGATTTGATGTAGCGGCCGACGGATAGAATGACAGTCAGTGATGGTCAACTGGCGTTAGCAATCGGACGCAGCTGTCTAATCAAAAGTGTTCATTCGATTGTGACCGATGCCTTCCACCTTCTAATACAACGATTATCTTTTTTTTTTGTTAGAGTCTTCGTCAAACTCTATATCTCTTCGCAAAGATGGCTCATTTGTTATGTACTTTTTTTTACTGTATATTATATATGCGTTATAGCATTAGTTGCTCTTCCGTCAGAAGCACCTGTGTGTTAACCAGCTGCTCTCGTCCAGTGAGTCTCGTCGGTGTTCAACGCACTGTCGAATTTGTATTTCGCTAAATCTATTTTGGCCTTATCACTCGAACCGCTACATCTAGCCTTCAGGCACAATACACTTTACGTTTATGTCTCCTCTAACAAAAATAACTTTCTAGCAAGTTTCTATGCTTGTAATTTTTTGCCATTGTGTCTACGATGGTCCAGCGGTTGTTTGTCGTTGTGAGGCCTTCTCGCACAATTCGTCGAGATATTTACTCTCGATTTTCCTAGTACGTTTAATGCGATTTTGGTAGATGGAGACACTGCTAGGCTACAGAAAAATTAACTAAATGGCAGATCGAAGAAACAGTTGGTTCTTAATCGATCGCACAGATTATTTGTACAAAAGGAGACGTGTGCCACAGAAAAAGGTATTCTCTAGTGTACGTTAATTAGATAGAAATTCAGCCGTGTCGTATCCATTCTTTTCTTCCGTACGATGGCCTTAAGAGGACTGGCCCATTTACTATGAAGATTATTCGCTCTAAACCCAAAATAATGGTTTGTGTCGTGCACTTGAATGGTAGCATACTTTGCTTCTTATTTATTTATTTATTATTTTGCTTCTTAGCTATTCACAGAGGCAGATCAATTAAAATAGTTTTTGCATGCCATTGGCCCGTGTTTCATGACATACGGCTCCCAAAAAGCAATGGTTTTATACATCACTGTTTTTACTAGAATATATTTTAAAATTTGTACTTACAAGGACCACTTGTTGATCAAAAATCACGAGTGAAGCAACTTTTTTTTATATCGTACAATAACACTACCTAATATACACCTTTTTGATCGACGACATCCTGTTATATTTATCACTGTAGAACTTCTATGGCTTCTAGTACGTAATTCTTGTATTATTCCATCCAAGCTAAATTGACACAGTTAAGGAAGTTCTGCAGACACCGAAATAGATGAAAGTTTGATGACGTAAGATCTGAGCTAGGCTGCAGATCTCCTAT